GGATTGAACTCAGGCCCTTGTGCTTGCCAGGGAAGCACTTATTCTACTGAGCCATCTCCCCGGCCCCAAAAATTTCTTTCCCTTTACCTCTAATAATTGCTTTCATTAGAATATACATTCTTTTTTCTTTTTGTTTTATGTGGTACTGGGGACTGAACTCAGGACCTTGCGCTTGCCAGGCAAGTGCTTATTCTACTGAGCTATCTCCCCAGCCCACTTTTTAATTTTAATTGGATGTACTCATGGTTTTTTGTTTGTTTGTTTGTTTGTTTTGAGGCAAGATCTCATTGTTACCCACTCTGGCCTGTGGTGTTTTCTTCTATTAGTTTTAGGTGTTATACCTAGGTGTTTGATCCACTTTGAATTGATTTTTATAGAGGATACATAGTATTGTGTACGTGCTGATATTAACTGCTTTGGATATGTGCCAAGAGAGGTTATAGCTAGAGAGAACAGCTTATTTCTAGTTTTTTGAATCGCCATGCTGATTTCCATAGTGGCTGTACTCATTTCATTCCTCCAGCAGTGTAGATAGGTTTGTGCTCAGCCCTAGTCTTTCCTCCCCCCCAGCATGTATGTTTATGGTTTGTGTCAAGGTGTGCCTCCCAAAGACTCATGTGATCATGGGGCGGCTTCTAGAGTTTGTGATTAATTCATGATCCAATGCTGGGATTATGAGTGTGAGTGCTACACCCTCCCTGGGGCAGATAATCTGCATTCAAATGTAAGGAGAGGAAAGAGGCTTGCTAGCTGCATCAGCTGCATCAAATGCCGTTCCTTCCTTTGCTCTTTGCTGTTTTCCTCTTCTATGGTCACCCTCTTCCATGTATCACTCTCCAGAAAAGTATGGACTGAAACCTCCACTAACTGTGAGCTAAGTAAACCTGTCCTTCATTAATTTTGGATGTTGGGTATTTGTCCCAGCAACAAGAGAAAATTAACAGACAGAATTTGGTACCAGGAGGAGGGTCATTGCCTGTCTATATACATGACCATGTCATTCAAGAGCCTTTGGGAATGGCTTATAGGAAGAGATAGGAAAGGTTCAGAGATGTGTCCTGCTAGAGAAGAGCTGGAACGCCATCAGCTGTTTTGTATGGGGGATTCTGGTCAGCACTCAGAAGACCAGAAGCCTGATAGCCTGCCTGTAAAGATCAGGCTGGGGAGGTTTCTGCTGGGAAGAAGGATTGAATTGGTTTTTGGACTCCAGATGATGTGTGTTATGGCTTGGCAGAAAGTTTGTCTGCATTTTGCTTGTGTCCAGGGACTTTGTCCGAGGCTGAGATAAAGTGTGGAAGACTGGTTAATCTGACAAAAGAAATTTCAAGGTAGTTGAATGTTGAGGCAGTGGCCTGCTACTGTTGGGAGCTTTTAGTCAGATTTATGTTGAGAACCCAGGGCAAAGAACCCAGCAGGATGATTTAAAATGTTGTGAGTTTGGTCAGAAAGGAAGTGCCAAATAAAGCTGTGGACTGCAAAGATAGGGCTGAGAGGATATCCATTGCTGAGAAAGAATAAGAGAATAGAAAAGATGGCATGAGGGCATCACAGGAGGCATCAGGTTTCCACCCTTTGCATTCTCAGAGTTGCAAGGGTGAGGGACTTTGCCTCAGGGCAAAGGCCACAGAGCCCATGTTCCCGAATGGCAGCATTCTAGAGAATTTGTTTCTCAGAGTCAAGGTCTGAGTGATCAGCAGTCCAGGCACTCAACCCCTACATCCAAGAAAGAAGAAAGCCTGGCTACTGCTCCAGCTGGCAGCAGACCTTGGCATCATCCACGTGGTGTTGGTTTTAGGCGCAGGTAGAATGCAAGAGTTCTGAGGTTAAGAAGGCTTCCACCTTGATTTCAGAAGGCCTGGGAGGCTATGCAGTGTACCCCTGAAAGGGCAGTGTGTGAAGCAGAGAGTGAGAAGCTTAATGTGTAGTGGAAACCCCAGAAGTTTGGAAAAACCAGGAGTATGTGTCGTCTAAGGGAATCTGCAAGGAGGGAGCAAAATAGGCCTGAGAGAGAAGCTATGGGAGCTACCACCAGAAGTGCCATAGAGGTGAAGCCACACGGAGTTCACAATTTGCCACAGATTGCTTTGGTTGTTGAATATGGAACTACAAGAGTTAACATTTGTCTTTCTGGATTTTCACCTTGCTTTGGTCCCTGTCTTAGTTACTCTTCACTCATTGCTGTGACAAATACCTGACAGCCAAAACGAAGGAAGGAAAGGTTTATTTAGCTCACAGTTACTGGAGGTTTCAGTCCATATTTAGCTGGCTCCAAGGCAGAGCGGCACACGGCAGAGGGCAACCTTTCATGGTGGCAGCAAAGAGCAAGAGTGAGCTCAAGAGGAGTAGCAGCAGCTCAGGCAGCTAACTTCTCTTTCCACCTTACATTGTAATGCAAATCACCTGTCCTAGGGCAAGTGCAGCATCCACACCCACAATAATTACGAACTCCAGAAGCCACCCCAAGACTGCATGACGCTTTGGGGGGACAGCTATACACAAACCATAACAGTTCCAATCCTACAGTTTGTACCTTTTTGAATGGTAATGTTTATCTTGTACCATTGAATGTTGAAAGTGTTTAAGTTTTCATTTGTACAGGGGTTCACAGCTAAGAGTTTGCCTTTAGATCTTGGGGGAGACTTGGGACTTGGAGTGTTCAGCAATGCTGAAAATGTTAGGACCTTAGCAATTCTCTCTTTTTTAAAATTTTATTTATTTATTTGTGTGTGTGTGTGTGTGTGTGTGTGTGTGGCCAGCTCAGCCCACCAGGGGGCGGGGCTGGCTGGCATGTGGTGATGGGGGATTGAACCGCGGTCCCTGTGCTTTACTAAGTAGGTGCTTTAGACCACTGAGCCATCTCACCAGCCCTAGGACCTTAGCAATTCTTAGAGGTGAAGTAAAATGTCTTTTGCATAAAGTGATGTGCCTGAGTCTTTGGTGGGTCAGGGGTGGAATATTATGGTTTATGTCTAGGTGTCCCCACAAAGCCTCATGCAGTCATAGGGCTGCTTCTAGTTTGTGAGTCATTCATGATCCAGTGCTGGGATTATGGGTGTGAGTGCTTCACCCCCCCTGGGGCAGATAATCTGCATACAAATGTAAGGAGAGAAAAGAGGCTTGCTAGCTGCATCAGCTGCAGGTCCTCTCTTTGCTCTTTGCTGTTTCTGTTGTTCTGAATGGCTGCCCTCTACCATATGCCATTCTGCCTTCAAGCCAGTCAAGTACGTACTGAAACCTCCACTGTGAGCTAAATAAACCTTTCGTTCCTTAATTTTGGGTGTCAGATATTTGTCCCAGCAAGGAGTGAAAAGGAACTGAGACAGTGTATTATTATTTATTGTGGTCTTGATGATAACCACAAGAGGAATTCTAATTTAGTTTTGATATTCCTAATGACTAAAGATGTTGAACTTTTTTTGAGACAGGATCTTGGTATATATAATTCAGGTTGACCTTGAACTTGTATGTGGACCAGGCTGGCCCTGAAGTTGTGATCCTCCTGCCTCACAGCTATTAGGTGCTGGTATTACAGTTGTTCACTATTCAAGCTTGGCCTAAATAGTATTTTTTTTTTGTATATGTATTAGCCATTTGTAGAAGTGTGTGGTCATTTGCCCATTTCATTAAGCTATTTGATTTTTTGGTGGTAAGTTTTTTGTGTTTATATATTCTAGATATTCATCCTTTGTTGGAAGATTATTTTGCAGTGGTTTTCTCGCCTTCTGTCAACTCTTTACTCTGTTGGTTATTGTCTTGCTGTGTAGAAGCTTTACTTACTCTTATGTCCCTTTCATTGACTCTCTTTATTAATTCCCGCATTGTTGGAATCCTGTTGAGTTCTGGCTTAACTTGTGCTTTTCTTTTAGGAGGCAAAACCATCAACTGAGGACTTGGGGGATAAGAAGGAAGGCGAATACATTAAACTCAAAGTCATTGGACAGGTGAGTGTCTTTATTTCTCTCCTTTGACTCTTCCAGTGTTGGGATAATCTCTTACACACAGGGAAATAGTGTTTTAAGAAAGGCAGGCTAATTAAAAAGGACTTTTTAAAAATTCAATTATGCATGCATCTGTTAGAGGTCAGCTTTAGATCACCTTAATTTTTCTAAATGGAAACTTATTCTCAGTTGGCAGGCTTTATGGGGAAGTGTGGAAAACGCTATACCTTGGTAAGGCTAGGGCTACCATTAAATAGAAGAGTCTCAGTCCTTCTGCTGACTCTGTGTGTCCCTCCCTCTCCCCTTCTCCATGTGTCTCCTGTCCACGTCCCCTAGATGGTCCTCTGTTTCTTGCTGACTCTCACATGTGTCTTAGGGTAAGCTGAAGACTGTTGGAGGAATGAATCATCGCAGTTTTTTAAGTATGAAAGAATTACAGTATTGGGATGTTGGTCTTGCTCCATCAGAGCCTGCAAGTACCATCTCCTTGCATCTCCCAACCATGTGGGGGTACCAGTCTTCAATTCTGTGTCTGTATCATAGACAAAGAGTTTGTTTAGTGTGCATTTCTCTGATTATTAATAACATATATATTTTTTTTAAATACTGGGAATTGAACCAGGCAAAATAACATGTAAATTTTGTCTTCTATGTATGGTCTTACATCATGCCCCATTAATCTGCCATCTTTTTTTTTTTTGGTGGAACCAGGGATTGAACTCGGGGCCTTGTGCTTGCCAGGGACACGCTTATTTTACTGAGCCATCTCCCCAGCCCTAATCTGTCTTATTTTCAAAAAATTTGTAATAAGAGACAATAGATATGAGGCGAGAAGATCATTGGGAGTTTGAGACCAGCCTGAGCTACAAAGTGAGCTCAAGGCCAGCCTGAACTGTATAGCAAGACCCTGTCTCAAATAGACAAGGAAAAAAAAGAGAGACACTATAAGTAAAAACCATCAAATGTACTACTTTTTTATTTTTGTTTTTTGTTGATACAAGACCTCCCTGAGTAGTTTTAACTGCCCCTGAATTCACTATATAGCACAGTCTGGCCTTGAATTTGAGGTAATCCTTCTGCCTCAGTCTGTTTAGTGCTGCTGAGAATATAGGTGTGTGTTACCATACTCAGCTTTTTTTTTTTTTTTTTTTTTTTTTTTTTTTTTTTTTTTTTTTTGACACTGAGTCTCAAATGCACCACTCTGTCTGTCTGTCTGTCTTGTCTGTCTATTTATTGGGGGTGGGGGACACTGGGAATTGAACTCGGGTCACTGAATTAAACCTCTTGCCCCTCAAATGTACCCCTTTGAAATAGAATTCAGGGCTTTGTATATTCACAAGGCTGCGCAACCCTCACTGCTAATTCCAGAACATCTCATCACCCCAGAAAGACCTTGTGACTTACTGTCCCACCTACTCTTCTACTAGCTGCTGGCGAGCACTCTTTTTTTTTTTGCAACCGCTCTTCTGCTTTTAGTGTCTATGAGTGTACCCATTCTGGATATTGTAAATAAATGAATGTGGACTTTTGTGTCTGGTTCCTTTTTTTTTTAATCTATGTCTGTCTGTCTGTCTGTCTGTCTGTCTGTCTGTCTGTCTGTCTACTTATCTACCTACCTACCTGTGTCTGTATGTATTTGGAACAGGGTCTTACTGTGCAGCTTGACTCATAGTGATCTTCCTATCTCAGCTTCCCCAGTGCTGAGATTATAGGCATGGGCCACCATGGTTTCAGTGGCTGGCACAGTGCGCCCTGAGTTCTGGAGTCAGCATGGCATGCACGGCATGCAGTAATGGGGTCCTTGTACTTACCAGGCAGCTGCTTAGACTGCTGAGCTATCTTCCCAGCCCCTGTGTCTGGCTTTCATTAGCATGCTTGCATTTATTTATTTATTTTTTGCGGAACTGGGGATCGAACTCAGACCTTTGTGCTTGCCAGGGAAGCGCTTATTCCACTTAACCATCTCCCCGACCCAGCATGCTTTTAAAGTTTATCCATACTGTAGCATATATTAGCACTGCATTCCTTTTTTCATTCCTGAGTGATATTCCACTGGCTGGGTAGAAGTCATTTTGTTATCCATTTATCAGTTGATGATACTTTATTTCCCTATTGTGGCTATTATGAGTAATGCTGTGAACATTCATGTATGCTTTTGTGTGGGCATATGTTTTTGGCTTTCTAGGAATGGAACTGCTGGGTCTGTTGTGACTGTAATAACATTTATTTATTTATTTGTGTGTGGCCAGCTCAGCCCACCAGGGGGCGGGGCTGGCTGGCATGTGGTACTGGGGGATTGAACCACGGTCCCTATGCTTTGCTAAGCTTGTTCTAAGTAGGTGCTTTAGACCACTGAGCCATCTCACCAGCCCCTGTAATAACTTTTTGAGGAACTGCCAATCTTTTCAGCAGGGTCTGTAAGCCTTTACTTTCCTACTAACAGTTTCTCCATTTCTTTTCTTTTTTTTTTTTAATTAATTAATTTATTTATTTGTGTGTGTGTGTGTGTGTGTGTGGCCAGCTCAGCCCACCAGGGGGCGGGGCCGGCTGGCATGTGGTGCTGGGGGATTGAACTGTGGTCCCTGTGCTTTGCTAAACTTGTTCTAAGTAGGTGCTTTAGACCACTGAACCATCTCACCAGCCCCATCTTTTTCTTTTGATGAATTAAATTTATTTTTTGTTGTTGTTTTGCAATTTTGCTGTCGAAGTTAAGAAGTAGTTGTATAACCCAGGGTCACAAAAGACTTACATCTATGGTTTCCTCAAAAGAATGTATGATTTTAGCGCCTGCCTTTTTATCTTTCATTATGTATGTTGAGTAGTTTTTGTTTAAGTATGTTGCCCCAGACCTGTCATTTAGGAAGAATTAGTTGAATGTAGGTAATGTGGGCTTTTGGGTTGTCAGTTTCTTTTTAAAAAATTTTTAATCTTTTATTTATTTATTTATTTGGTTCAGGGTCTTACTACACAGCAGGGCTGATAGCAGTCCTCCTGTCTCAGCCTCTCCAGTGCTGACAAGCATGCACCATACCTGGTTTCAGTGGCCAGCACGGCAGGTGGTATCTGGCATGGAACCCAGGTCCTTTCGCTTGCCAGGAAGGTGCTTAGATCACTGAGCTACCTCCCCATCCCAGGCTGTCAATTTATTTATATGCAATCTCTAAGGATTTTATTTTTTAAAAATTACTAATTTGTAGGGGTTCTTTATATTATTTTGATTTCTCTGGTCTGTATGTTACGAATATTTCCTCTGACTTTTCTTTATGGTATCTTACTATATGGACAGTTTATGCTTTTAAAAAGTAGGGTCAGGGCTAGGGATATAGCTTAGCAGCATAAGCACCTGCCTAGCAAGTGTAAGGTCCTGAGTTTGAATCCTGGTAACCCCCCAACCCCCCCAAAGGTCAAAATTTGCTTTCAAGGACTTTCTAATCCCAGGAGTAGGAGAAAATTTTTTCTCTTAAAAAAGGAGAAAATATTTTTTAAAATGTTAGCTATTTTAATTAATCTAGAAATAATTTTAATGTGTATTATGCTATAGAAATTTTACATATTATCTATGGGAAAATAAATTTTTCTTCATAGCTGTAGTCACAAACAAGAATATCCTGAATTGTACATGGTGGTGCACCCCCCTGAAATCCCAGGACTCTAGAGGCTGAGGCAGGAGGATTGCTATGAGTTTGAGACCAGCCTGGGCTCTTTGAGTGAATTGGAGGCCAGTGTGAACTGCATGGCAAGACCCTGTCTCAGCCCCCCACCCCAAGAATATCCTAAGTATTAAACATGTAATATTTATTTGGGAATATGAAATACATTTATAATGGTTAGCTTTGAGATTTTACAGTGTTTAATACCAGTGTTTTCTCAGTGGTTTCTTGGCAGTCTGGGTGAGAGAAAAGAGTCTTTTGTCCCACAGATCAGTTTGACTGATTGAATTCTTACTCGTTTTATTCATGTGAGAGAAAAGGATTCAATGGGGTAACTGTCTCAGTGGAGTAAGTTCCTTACCTCATATTTTTTGGTATGCCTCTTACCTAGATTTGATCACCTTTATGGCTCCTCAGTTGGATGGGGTTATTTTTGAGTTTCTTTTATGGTTAATTTGAAACTTCTTTTTAGGAAAGGTCTATAGGGTCTACGGGGTCTCACAACGTAGATCGGACTCGTAGTGATTTTCCTGTGTCCAGCCTCTTTAGAGCTGGGATTATAGGCATGGGCCACCACGCCCAGTCTCTTTCGAAGTCTCAGCGCACCCCAGGGGTGGGGCCGGCATAGCAGGCTGGGGATCGAACCTCTGACCCCTGCATCTGCCTGAGCAGGTGCTTTAATCCGCTGAGCTATTTTGCCAGCCCTTTGAGTTGCTTTATTTTTTATTTTTTGAATTGCTTTTAAAGGGGTGTGATAGTGCCTCTTTTATTTCAACAGTGGAATGGACATGTAGTAATGAAGGAGTGCATTTGTTGACATTTTTATGTATATTGATAGTTTTAACACCTAAGACAGATTATCTTTATTATTTCTTTTGTAATGGATACTTTGAGGAGTGTTTCTGTTTGTTTATTTGATAGAGTCCAGCTCTGTAGTTTAGGCTGGTCTTGAACTCACTATGTAACCCAGGCTGGCCTTGCATTTGTGGTGGTCCTCCTGCTTCAGACTCCTAAGTGATGGAATTACAGGTGTATGCCACCATGCCCAGCAAATGGTCTTAAAAATCCTGTGATGAGTCTGGGTTGGAGCTCAGCAGCACAGTGCCTGCCTGGCAAGTTCATTTGATTCCTGGTAACAAATAAATTTAAAAATCGTGTTAAGAATGATGTAAAGGGG